CTGAGCAAGGAAAATACAACATGTAGAGCAATTTGAGGAGAAAAGAAGCACCCAGAAGTGGAATGGAGCTAAATCCTGTGATTAAGATAAACAGGTTAAGAATTAATAAAGGGGGTGGTGACTTCAGGGCAAGATCCTACCCAGCTAAGTTTCCAACTTGTGAAAAGGAATTAAAGAAAAGCTTAGAGCCAGGTGTGGTGGTTCACATCTTCAATCCCAGCACTCCAGAGGCAGAGGCAGGCAGAGCTCTGAGGTAGAGGCCAGTCTGGTCTACAGATCCAATTTCAGGACAGCCAAGCTTAGACAGTGAAGGAAGCTGCTGTGGAATAATCCTTCTGTACACTGTGGGAATATATGTGGCTATGATTGGTTTAATAAACAAGCTGACTGGCCAATAGCTGAACAGGATAAAGTTAGGCAGGAAAGCCAAACTGAGAATGATGGGATGAGGAAGGGCAGAGTCAGAGGAGTTGCCAGCCAGATACAGAGGAAGCAGGAGTTGAGCTTGCTGTACTGAGAAAAGGTACCACCATATTGCAGAGGGTAGATAAGAAATATGGGTTAATTTAGTTGTAAGAGCTAGTTAGCAACAAGCCTAAGCTATTGTTTGAGCATTTATAAGTAATCTTAAGTCTCCATGTTGGCTATTTGGAAACAGGCAGTCAGGACAGAAAAACTTTGCCTACAGGAAACCATTGAAAACAGAAAGCTGGTGAAGATGTAATTGAATGAGGGGGCATGTTCCAGCACCAGCAGAACTTGGCAGCTTTAGCCACATGATTCTGGCTTTAGAGTCAAGGATAGAAGAAGGAAGTTATGGAATCTGCCTCCGAGACTAAGGAAAGTCACTGAAGCTAGGTATGTGTCAGGGGTGTCCCTGAATGGAGGCCTAAAGAAGTCATTGCATGAAGCTGTGAAGTTGAAGCCTGTATTTTTTGGAGACCCTAAGATGTTGGAGATGTCAGAGCCATGAGATACCTGCTGAGGAGAGCTACTAACAGGGAGTGGAATCAGCCCAAGAGAAAGAAGTGTGTTGCAGCCAACAAAGCTGAACAGAGTTGGAGATCTGAAGAGTGTTTTGACATAAGACATGGAGATGTAGAATTTGGAGTTTGCCCATCTAGTTTTGAACTTGCTTTGTTCCTGTATTTCCTCACTATGCTCCCTTTTGGAATGGTAATGTATATCCTGTGACAAAATATGTTGGAAGTATGTGATCTGCTTTTTGATTTTGATTTTACAGGAGATTGCATGCATCTCAGAAGAAACTTTAGAGTTTTAAATAAGTTTGAGACTGTCAAAGACTCTGGGGACTTTTGAAGTTACATTGAATGCATTTTTGCATTATGATACGGCTATAAGCCTTTAGAGGCCAGGGAGTGGAATGTAGTGGTCTGAAAGAAAATGGTCCTTATAGGGAGTGGCACTATTAGAATGCGTGGCTTTGTTTGAGTGGGTGTGGCTTTGTTAGAGGAAGTGTGTCACTGTGGGAGTGGGCTTTGAGGACTCCTTTGCTCAAGCTACACTCGGTGTGGTACACAGTTCACTTTCTGTTGCCTGAGGATCAAGATGTAGAACTCTCAGCTCCTTCTCCAGCACCATGTCTGCCTACATGCTACCATGCTTCCCACCATGATGACAATGGACTAAACCTCTGAATCTGAGCTAGCCCAAACTAAATGTTCTCATTATGAGAGTTGCCATGGTCACGGTGTCTCTTCACAGCAATAGAAACCTAAGACAGAGGCTGAGGAAGGTTTATCTGGGGCAGTGGGCCTGTGCCATGCTGCTTTCTCTTGGCGCCTCAGGAAGCAGAGAGCATTAGTTGAACCAGAAGCAGATATCACCTTCATCCCTGCCTCCTGAGACTCACTTTGGCTAGGCAGGTCATCTTCCCAAAGGGTCCAAAACTTAACGAAAGAACGTCAGGTGAAGACTTGTAGTTTCCACAAGAACACTTTAGTCAAACACAGGAACACTTTACATTCAGCCACAAGAGAGGGCATCTTTCTACTCTGTTACCAGAAAAAGGAGACATTCCCAGCTCTGTAAATTCAACCTTTCTTCCCTTCCCTAGCATTTTGGGGGGAAATACAGATGTGATGAGGAGTCATCTCACCACTGCAGACTCCTAGGGCTCTCGTTCTTTGTGAAGATCTATTTCCCTCATTTTCTTGTGAGAATTTTCATCTCACATCCTTTTGCGACTTCAGATTTTTCCAGAATTTGAAAACTTTAGTTACCTTCTTCCTAATTTTTGTTTCCTCAGTTCTGGTATCCATATGTAGACTTTTGTGTAATTAAATTATTTTATTTCTTATGAGTAAATGAGTCAGATTTCTGGATCATATAGTAAAAGTATTTTACTTTTTAATTCTTGCCTGGATTTTTATTATTTTATAATTATAGGTGTTTTACTCTGTGTACCATGTGCATGTTGTACCCTTGGAGGCCGGAAGAGAGCATTGGATCCTCTGGGACTGTAGTTACAGATGGTTATGAGCCACAATGTGGGTGCTGAAGATCAATCTTGGTCCTCTGGAAGAGCAGCCAGTGCTCTTAACCACTCAGCCATCTCTCCAGCCCCTGATTTTATGTTATAAGAAACTTCTAAATTGCCTTTCGAGTGGTCACGGTGCAGTTTGGATCCACTCAGCACACTGGCTGCACTCCCAATCAACAATCTCAGTAATATTTAAGGGGTCCAGATTACACACTTGCTTTCTCTCTACCCCTCCAACTTGCTCTTCTATTCTTCAGAGGCATGTAGCCCAGGCTGGCCTCAAACTTGCTATATGGTTGAGGCTGATCAGAAACTCCTGATTCTCCTGCCTCAAGCTCCCAAGAGCTTGTGTTACAGCTGTTTGCCATCACACCTGGTTTATGGAGTGTGGGGATCAAACCCAGGACTCTATGCACGTTAGGCAATTACCCTACCTGTTAAGCTACATTCCTAGCTCCCACCCCACTTTTCTTTTCTTTTCTTCTTTGGAGACAAGGCTTTGTTGTATAGACTGGTGTCTTACTCACTGTTCTATTGCTGTGAAGAGACACTGTGACCAAGGCAACTCTCATAAAAGGAAGCTTTTAATTGGGGGCTTGCTTACAGTTTTCAGAGGTCCATTATCATCGCGCCCAGGGAGCATGGCGGCATGCAAGCAAGTGCTGGAGCAGTGACTGAGAGACATCTTGATCCTTAGGCAGAGAGGCAGAAAGAGAGAGACTGGGCCTGGCAATGGCCTTTTGAAATCTCAAAGCCCACCCCCAGTGACACACTTCCTCCAACAAAGCCACGCCCCTTAATCCTTCTAATCCTATGGAAGAGTGCCACTCCCGGAGACAAAGCATTCCAATGTGTGAGCCTGTGGGGGCCATTCTTATTTAAACCATCACAACTGGGCTTTTCTGAAACTCTCTGCATAGACCAGGCTTGCTTCAAACTTGCATCCCAGCACTTGGGGGACAGTGGCAAGAACTTGAGCAATTGCTCTGACCTTGAGGTCAGCCCGAACTATATAATGAGTTTCAACTCAGCCTGGGCTACAAAATAAGATCACCACCACCACCACAAAAGAAATGTATTTACTGTCATTCCTATAATTTATGTTTTCCTTGACACTAAAATATTTCGGACACTTTAAAACTAGGGTTTTCTCTATCATCACCATTTCTGCTGAGTTCTTTGCAATGTGCTAAATAAGCTTGTTTTTTTTTCTCTTTAGTAAAAAGGGGCAAGGACCAGAAAGATGATTCAGTGGTTAAGAGCACTGACTGTTATTGCGGAGGACCAGGGTTTGATTCCCTGCACTCACATTGTGGCTCACAAGCATCTCCAGCTCCAGTTCCATTGATCCAGAGGATCCAACACCCTCTTCTGACTTCTCTGGGCATTGGACACACACATGGTGCACAGACGGACACACTGGCAGAACACTCTGCACATAAAATGAGATAAATCTGAAAAGAAGGCGGGGCACTGCAAGATGACTCATTAGGCGACAAGTACCTGCCACCAGGCCTGACAACCTGAGTTTGATTTCTGGGACCCACATAAGGAAGGAGAAAACTGACTCCTGCAAGTTGTCCTCTGACCTCCACATGTGTGCCATGACATGAGTGCCCACACACGCCTCCTCCTCCTCCTTCTACTACCACACCCACACACAATATGTATAATTTAAAGCCCTGTTTGAGACAGGCCACATGTAGCTGACCTCAGACCACTACAGGACAAGGCCAGCCTTGAACTGCTTCCATCCTTAAAGCTGAGATTACAAGTATGCACCACCAAAAAAGCCTGGCTTATTCCTGTTCATTATCTTTTGGGTTGTTACCAACTTTAGGTCATTATGAATAATGTTTCTTGATTGTGGGAATCAAGTATTTGTAGAAACACATGTTTTCATTCCTCTGGGGCTGATAACTAGGCATGAGATTGTTGGGTTACTAGGTAAGTGTATATTTAATTTTCCTTGGTTATATAGCTATTTGCCCTTTTACCTACTTTTAAATTGGGTCATTTGGAGAGAGAGCAATGTCATGCACAAGCTGAGTATTGAACTCATGGCTTTGAGCATGCTAAACCTACACCCTACCACTGAACTACACCTCATCCTCCTTGCTTTACTGTTGAGCTGTAGCAGTTCATTTCTCTTCTGTTCCCCCCCACCCCACAGGGTTTCTCTGTGTAGTTTTGGTTCCTGTCCTGAATCTCACTCTGTAGACCAGGCTGGACTCAAACTCACAGAGATCCCAAATGCTAGGATTAAAGGCATACTCCACTGCTGCCCGGTGCTTTCTCTCTCTCTCTCTCTCTCTCTCTCTCTCTCTCTCTCTCTCTCTCTCTCTCTCTCTCTCTCTCTCTCTCTCTCTGAAGGTTCTACATTTTATTACTGGACAAACTACTCCCCCAACTTAAAACGCGACCAAGTCTTCAGGTTAAAATGTTGAACTCCACGTGGTAGGATTGCTTGATGACCCACAATTCATCATAAACTGTCTTGCCATTGTGTGAATCCTTACAGACCCAGCTTTGTTCTCTTCCAGTGTCTTCTCTTGGAGTTGTACCTTATTTTGTTACCAGTTTTCATCTGAATCCACTGAGGAATAAGACGATTTTGCTCTTGTTTCTTGGCCAGGAATCGCTTGATTCCGAAAGTCTTGTGAGAAGACATGGTGAGAAGCCAAGTCAGGAGTCCACCGCACGATGGAGGAGGGAAGAAGAGCAGGCGCTTTCTCCCTTTTTAAGTCAGGGTTTTATTATGCAAACCAGGCTGGCCATGAACCTACAGAAATCCTTCTGATCTGGCCTTTCTAGTGCTGGGATTACAGGCATGAACTGCCACACCCAACTTTAAGACTCAATCCACGTTCTACATAACAGTCCATTAACGGATACAAGATGTGCCAATGTTTTCTTTCAGCTTGGGATTAATATTTCATTTCTTCCTGAAGATCTTTTTAAGTTTTTTGAGACAGTGTCTTGCTGTGTAGCCAAGGCTGGCCTGAAATTTGTGACAATCCTTCTGCGTCAGCCACGTAAGTGCTGGGATTATAGCTGTGAATCATCACATCTGCTGGATATCTCTCTCTCTCTCTCTCTCTCTCTCTCTCTCTCTCTCTCTCTCTTTTGTCATATCTAAGATATATTTGATCAAAACTAATTTTCCTAATTTTTTAGGTGATTTGTTATACTGATTATTTACTTTAGATCTGTGATTTTTTTTTTTTTTAGCTCATTGCTGTACACAATGAGAAGGGAACTGTCTACATTTAAAGATTGGTATGAGGCTATTTCTTAGTATATTTATTTATTATTTTTGGTATATAGATAAGTTGTCCTGATACTATTTGTTAAAAAAAATAATAATAAAATAAAATAAAATAAAATAAAATAAAAAAAAGGACTTTCAGGGCTGAGGAGATGGCTCAGCAGGCAGAAGTCTTTATTGTGTGAGTCTGCTGGCCTGTGTGCAATCCTTGGAATCCAGGTAAAGCCAGATGAGTGAGTACTCATCTACAACCACATCATTCCTACAGTGAGATGGGAGGGAGGGGCAGGGGAGTCAGATAGAGGGTCTAGAGACAACTAAGCTGTATGCATCACAACAGACACAGGAGGAGAGAGACCCTGCCTCAAAAGCAAGGTGGAAAAAAGGATGGGCTTGTCTTCTGACCTCCACAGAGTGTCCTAACATACAGGCATTCTCCCCCATTACACACACACACACACACACACACACACACACACACACACACACACACGATTTTAAAGGAATTTCTCCTCACTCATTAAATTGCCATTTCCATTTCCAGCCCCAACCCTCCGAGGAGGAAAAGTTGAAGTGTGGCATCATGATTTATTGTTATTCTGGCTTCCATTTCCCCTTTTTCACGAGTTTGTGCTTTAACATACAAGGTTTTTCTGGGCTTGGTGGCACAAGCTTGTCACACCAGCACCAAGAAGGCTGGGACAGGAGGGTCAAAAGTTCAAGGTCAGCTGTGGCAATGGCACATGCCTTTAATCCCAGCACTCAGGAAACAGAGGCAGGTGGATCTCTGTGAGTTCAAGGCCAGCTCAGACTACAGAGTGAGTTCCAGGATAGGTTCCAAAGCTACACAGAGAAACTCTGTCTCGGCAGGGGGGGTGGGGGGGAGTTCTAAGCTACCTAATGAGACATCCTCTCTCATATAGTAACACACATTTTTTTTTCGGGGGTGGGGTGGGGAGGAGACCAAACTTGGAGCCTCACACATGATAGGCAAGTGCTCTACTACTGAGTTATATCTCCAGATCAAAGTTTTGCTATTTTATTCAGTATTTATAAGGAAACTTTTCTCTATTCAGTGAATCTGCCTATTGCTAGATGAAAAACAAGTGACCATTCTTTTCTGTTTTTTTATTTTATACAATTCCTTATTGACTCTGGAAATTTCATATCATGCACCCCAATCCCACTCACCTCCTAGTCCCTCCATATCTGCCCCACATTCCTACAGCATGTCCACCCCAAATTAATTAAAAACAAAACAAAACAAAATCCCACCTCAATCCTCCACTTTCCAAAACCTCTTTATTCATCTTAGTGGCTGCAGAATGTCACTCAGTAAACCCTTTTGTCCAATCAGCTCCACCCACAATATGTCCATTGCAAGGAGTCATTGGTCTGGTTCAAGGTCTCTGGCACACTATCATCACTGGGCTCTCATTGAAATCCCTCTCAGATATCCCACCCCAAGTCATGGAGATCCCATGGTTATCATTCTGCAGGACCAGTCCCTTCCCAATTCCAGCAGGCCATAGATGGGGCAGATGCTAAGGAGGGCCAACGCAAGGCCCAGGATGTGGGTCTGGGTGGTAGCTGAGCTGCTTAGTCCGGGCTACTGGGACTGGCCCCTCAGAGCCAGATCTTCTAGGGCCATGCCATAGGGCCCAGCTCTCCCATGCCTGTAGTGAGGGATGGGGCCATCTTTCCTAAGTGTGGGGGCTGGGGTTGGGGGTGGAAGGGTCAGTTTTCCCATGGGGGCAGGGCCAGTGAGGTGCAGGGCTGGTTCTGCACAGCTCTCAGATTTCAACACCCATGGTTCCTATGACCCCCTCTGGTAACACCAGCCATGGTCATCAGCCCAGACCCTGGCTGTTGTTGGGCTATGGACCCAGACATGGCCTAAGGCAGTAGTAGCCCAGGCCCAAATGACACCATGGACCTATGTAGCTGCATGGGCCATCCAGATAAACATGGCCCTGGTGGTAGCACATGGCCATTATTTTCAAAATGCTTTATGTGTATTTTAATAGGGTTTCCAATGTTTTGGTTACTTTTCTAGTGCCATATCAAAACACAATGACCAAGGCAATTTATAGAGGAAAGCACTTAATTTGGGGTTTTTATAGTTTCAGATGGTAACCATGATCATTACTGTGGGGAGCACGGCATCAGGCAGGCAGGCATGGCACTGGAGCAGTAGCTGAGAGCTTACGTTTGATCTGCAAGCCCAGGGCAGAGAGTTAGGAGGGGAGAAAGAGAGACTGGAAAATCATGTGGACTTCTGAAATATCAAAGCTTAGCCTAAGTGACATACCTCCTTCATCAAGACCACACTTTTAATCCTTCTCAAATAGTTCCATCAACTAAAGACTAAACATTCAAATACCTGACCTTATGGGGGATATTCTCATTGAAACCATTACAATGAGTACTGAAATAATTATCCCTTTCTAGAGGTTCTAAAATCCACTCTTACACCTAAGATTTTTGTTTTGTTAAACTCTGTATCTTTGCCCAAGATTTTGTACATGTCTTTTTACGTGTGTGTGTGTGTGTGTGTGTGTGTGTGTGTGTGTGAATCTGTAACCCAGGGGACTAGAACCCACTATGTAGCCTAGGCTGGCATTTGTTGTGAGACAAAGCTCTTCCTGCAGAAATATAACACGCCCATCTCCTCTCCTGAGTAGGATACCAGGAGAGAACAAAGTATGGATTTCACCAAAGTCCAACTTGATGAACCAATGAGTTTTATTGGGGTTACTTACAGGGATATGGGTGAGGGGTTAATTAAAGGAGAAAAGACTCACAGTTAAAGAAATGACTCAAAGACAGCTGTGTCACCAAAGCCCGCCACAGCATGGGTGACAGCTCACAAAGCCGGGAACCAGAAGCTCACTGCACAGTGTAGATGTAACCAACCGTCTTATTAAATAAGAAACACAGAAACAATGTAAAAGAGAAAGCCGAGAAGTCAGAGCTCAGAGCTAAAATCT